CCACCTTGCAGGCCAGCCCATGAGACCAAGGCCTGGCATACAAGCTACCCGCACCACATCCAGAAGGTTCCAAGGTGCTGGACACACAAGGGAAGCTTTTGGAAGCAAGTAGGATTAGCAGGAGCATCCTGGCAGATTTGGTTGACCTGAAAATTAGAGTTAGCATCCTGATTGGTTGTAATCTGGTATAATCCTTGATTTTAGCCTTTATTCTAGGATATTGCCCATTAAGTGTGGCTGGAGCCTCAACTATAAATAGAGGGCTGCTCCACCCTCATTTGTACACCATCAAACACTTCTGTTTCAGTGAATACAAGAGCATTTCCAGAATTCTGGCTTCTTATCCTGTTTCTCTTTAACTTGCGTAATCAGCCCTTCTCGTTGTTCTAGTGCCTGCACACTTGTGTTTTAGGCTGACTTAGGCATAAAAGAAGAGATTCCAAGCCTAAGGTCGCACGGTTTCTGAGTCTAAGGTCAAAGCCCCTGATAGTTGGTATCATAGCAAGTTCGATTCTATGTGTTTGTGTTGTGCAGGTTAGATCGTGATTGAAGAAATGGCATCCTAAAGCGACGTTCCTAGCCAACAACTAGAGGCCCAGGAGCATGGGCATGGAAGAAGCAAGAAAGCCAGTTCTAGAGATATCTGGTCTACCATTGACGGTAGGCTGGCCAAAGTGGAGGTGACTGTGGGTGACATGGGGGAAAAGCTTGAGAAAGTAGAGACTCACATTGCATCGCTAGACTCTATAGGGGAGGAGATCCAAAGTGAGCTGGAAGCTGCTCTTAACAAAGGCATGGACGTGATCACCCAGAAGAATAAGGCCTTGGAGGCTGAAGTGCTGACCTTGCGTGATGGCATGGAGGCCATGTGCCAGCGGATGGAAGAGCTTACTAGTGAGTTCATTGCTTGCAAGACTGCCATCGGAATGGCATGTTTGTTGGAGTGTCCAAATCCAGATTGGATGTCCCCAAGCCTAAAGAGTTCAAGGGGACTAGGGAGGCCAAGGAAGTAAACAACTACCTTTAGGGTATTGAGCAGTATTTCCAGGCCATGGGCATGCAAGACGAGGCGATAAAGGTAAGCACCGCTGCTATGTATCTCACTGATGTAGCCTTATTATGGTGGAGGCACAGGTGTGATGATGTCAGGCGTGGGAGTGCCAAGATTGGAACCTGGGTAGAGTTCAAAAAGGAGTTCAAAGAACCTGGGTAGAGTATGCTAATGATGAGGCACGGGCAAAGTTGCGCAGGCTGAGCCAGCAAGGGGACATAAAGGAGTATGTCCAAAAATTCTCTGAACTAATGCTACAGATCTCATATCTAGGTGAGAAAGACACCTTATTTGCTTTCATGGATGGGCTGAAGCCGTGGGTGAAGCATAAGCTACAAAGGAGGGGAGTTCATGACTTGGCTAAAGCCATGACTACTGTCGAAGCCTTGATAGAGTTCAAGCCTCTGAACAAGTTCGAGTCTACCAAGCCCAAGGGTAAGGGCAGGGATGATAGGGATCGAAAGAAGCAGTCTAAGGGGAAGGACCATGATCGGAAGTCCAAGGATGGGGACCGAGACCGTTCAACCAAGGATGGCGAGAGGAAGCCACCAGCATGCAAGTGGAAAGCAAAGGGGACTGAGAGCCACTAGCATGCTACCTATGTGGAGGGAGCCACATAGCGCGTAATTGCCCGTAGAAGGGCAAGCTAGCTACTGTAGACAAGGAGTCTGACGAAGAGCCAGAGTCAAGGGCAACAAAGCTTGGGTCTTTGGTGCTTAATGCTATCCAGAGTAAGGGGAGCCATAAGCCAAAGGGCTTGATGTTTATGGATTGATGGTTACGGGTCAGAAGGTGAGTGCACCGGTGGACACAGGTGCCTCACATCTTTTTATTTCAGGTGATAGAGCCTGAAAACTCAGACTAAAGGTGCAGAAAAGGATTGGTACCATTAAAACAGTAACTCCAAGGAGGTTCCAACCATTGGAGTAGCACGGGGAGTGGAGTTACAGCTTGGAGACTGGAAAGGCAAGGAGACCATTGAGGTAATACCCCTTGACGACTATGAGTTTGTGATTGGGTTAGATTTCCTTGTTTCGATTAACGCCCTCATTGTGCCTTTTGCCGATTGTGTTTGCATCTTGGATGCAAGGTGCCAATGCCTAGTGCCATTGAGGAGAGGGTCTAGAGTTGGGTCACAGGTGGTGTCAGCCATCCAATTTGCCAAGGTGGTAAGCAGACAAGAAGACACCTTCTTGGCAGCCCTAAAATATGATAAGCCAAGGGAAAAGGAGACCGAGTCACCTTTGAAGGTGCTAAAGGTGCTAAAGGTGCTGAAGACGTTTAGTGATGTGATGCCCACAAAGCTGCCTAGCAAGCTACCACCTAAGAGGGAGGTGGACCACAAGATCGAGCTAGTGTCTGAGGCCAAACCACCAGCCAGAGCCCCTTACCGAATGTTTCCACCAGAGTTGGAGGAGTTAAGGAAACAGCTCAAAGAGTTAGTTGATG